AAAGAGGGAAAATGGATTCAGGAAAGAGGCCTTGTCCAGCCTGAGTCTTTGGCCTTAAATGAGCATTTCTGAGAATGACTTCAGAGTTAATATACCAGTGAAGCAGAGGTAGGACAAATGGGACTCAATAGAGAGCATAGAGCACTACATTATTTATTTAGTTAGTTATTTTTGTGACTGGGACTTGAATTCCAGGCCTGGGCAACTATCCCTTAGCTTTTTCACTTTCCATTTTGCTGGTTTAATTGGAGCCTGGAGCTGGCTGTGAACCATGGTGGTCCTCAAATCTCAGCCTCCTGAGTAGTTAGGATTATAGGCAAGAGCCCTTGATGTCAAGCTAGAATGCTACTGTTTGGATTTTCATCTGCGTCTGAAGGAGGAGTTACTGGCCTCCCATTGTGCTGTCACTGAGGCTGATGGCAAGGGCATTGATTGAGGCCATCCAAGGACACTCGGCCCTCACTGGGAGGAGAGTGATGGGCTTGTCCAGGCAGAGGGGCTGCTGCCTATACTGTCAACAGAGTCCACAGCCTTTGGCTTCTGGGAAGGGCCAGGCCTCTGGGGAGGGGTGAGGTCATTGTTTGGAAGGGATTTGTAGACCCCGTCTGCCTTCACCAACTCCCTAGCCTGACTCAGATCTAGTTCTAGCTAATACCCACACTGGTTTCAGAGAACACATACTACATATGAAACACAAGCTAACCCTTCTATGTTAGTTCCCAGCTACTGTATGACTTTGAAATTCTTATTTTCTGAATGAAGAGATAAAAGCTCAGATGGAAAGTGTGTGACTCGGTCTCTGCAATCAAGGGCTGCTTCTCCGTGTTGTCAGCTGAAAGAAGCTAGACCTGGTCAAGGAGTCTCCATGGTTCTGTGGAAAACAGAGCAGGAGCAAACCAGACAGAAAGTTGTGTTCCAGATGGAGTTCACACCAAGCTGCAGACCCCACACCCACCCTAGGCCCCTTCAAATTAACCAGACCTAGGCTGGGTGCCTGTGACCCATGCCTGTAATCCTAGATACTCAGGAGGCTGAGATCTGAGGAGCTCAGTCTGAAGCTAGCCTGGGCAGTCTTTGAGACTCTTATTTCCAATCAACTATTTCATACCCCCACTCCCACACAAAAAAAGCCAGAAGTAGAGTTGTGGCTCAAGTGGTAAAGTGATAGTTTTGAACAAAAAGAAGCTCAGAGACAATGTCTAGGCCCTGAGTTCAAGCCCCAGGACTGGCACACACACAAAAAATAAAATAACCAGACCTCTCCCTTCTGCCCCCCAACCTCTGATTGGCCAGGGAGCCTTTCCTTCAGGGTATGGAAGTCTGGGGCAGATCCTAGAAACCCTTTTGCAGATTTTAAAGGGCTGGACACAGGGGAAGGAGTTGATGGCAGGCATCAAAACACCACACATTCCCATGAGCGCTCTTGCTGAGGTGAGCAGGTTTCTGGAACATACATTGGGCAGGGCCCGGTGGGTCCAGGCAGGCCTGTACCCATCTGATGGAGGCCTTTGTTTGCAGATGTTGCCTGCTTGGAGAAAGTCCTAGGATCAGAGACACTATGGGAGGTCCTGATGGCTCCTCAGGAACTGGGACTGATAAACAATTGGAAGCTGGCACATACACCTGTTTGACTAAGTATCCCCAAGAGGCGAAAAGGTAGGGTGGTGGGGGCAGTCAGGGAAGCTTTTGGACATCCTCAGAGGATATAGCTCTTAGAGTTCAGTAGTACCTGCAAGGCCCTACTTTATCTTAGACCTAACGGCAGATCTCAGTCCTTGGTCTGTAGAATTGCGAGCACGCAGTGACAGCTTGATAGATGAAGATACTGGAAATAAACCAGATGGCTGGCTAGGGAGGAGGGGCTTCAGGTTCCCTGGAGGGGTTGGCTGTGACCGAGGAGGACAGGAAAGCATGGCTCTTGTGTTGGGGCCAGGATCTGATGGTGGGCCCCACTGAATATGGGGATCCCCATCAGAGATGAGTGTGACCTTGATCTTGACCTGGATGGCAGAAAATACACATCAAGGAGACAGGTGGCCCTGGGGTAAAGAGACGTGTTGGTTCCCATCCAGATGTGATTGAAGACCTCTGCCTACATCTGAGAGATTTTTTTTTTTTACCTTGGGGAGTGAAAATTCTGTCACCGAAACATGTAGCTGGGTGCCAGCCCTGCCATCAGCCGATGGTCCTTTTGACTTTGTTCTCATTCTCCTCTCATCAGCCCGACTCTGAGTCCTGCTGCTTCGACATTAGCAGAGAATGAGATTGTCACTCAGGAAGCCAAGACTCCCCGTAAGGAGCACCGGCTGTAGGCTTTAGACTTCAATCTTGGGGACTTTATTCAAAAGGGTTTCAAAGCAGTCAGTGGGTTTTCACCTGAGCTCAGTGGGACACAGAGATCATGCAGCCAAAGACACCCTGACAGCCCTTCAGGGCCTTTGGTCTTTGGGTGACACTGCTGATCTGGCTTTTCTGAGCCATTTGGCATCCTTAGGAGAGAGAAACAGTTGTCCACCCCCACCTCTCTGTTATAATAAGGCAACAGGGCAGGAAGCAGTAGGGGAGTGGTAGAATTTTTTTTTTTCCCTAGAAGCAAATGCTCCACCATGAGTCCTCAAACCAAAGAGTCACACAGAGCTGGCTGGGTTGTAATGGATTCAAGTCATTTATTATTAGATTGTTATTAGCATGTTTGGTTCTGGGTTTCAATTTCCCCAATAATTCCAGAAAAATAAACTAATGAGAACCACATGCACTATGAGAAGACCATTCTGACGTGTCCGTGATCATGCGGTGAGTGGGCATAGGATACGGGTCAGGAGTCCGCCTTGTGAACAGGGCCTCCCCTCCCCCACACAGCCAACAGCAGCTGCCACTGAGCCTCACTGGGGCTGGGGAGAGGGCTGAGTCTCTGTCATTTGGACCCTGTGCATTGAGGGCCCTGGGCCCCTTATTGCTACATTTGCTACTTTATGGCCCCTGGCTCTTGTCCAGGGGATGTCTTATCACTGGGTGGCACTAATGAGTAGGTTGCTGGCTTCTGCTGTTGCCATGGTTACGTGAGCACAGGTCTCTCTTCAGAGGGTCCTGTGGTGAGTTATGAGTTATTTATTTGGCCACTGTTTGATTATTCCACAGTCCATATTCATCTCAGCCAGATTTCTCTTCTTCCCTCAGCCTAGATCTTCCCAGATCTCCTGGAACTTACTGGAATTCCTCTCCCCCCTCTCCCCCCAATACATCGCGCATGTCCTAAAGACCAGCAAACTTCCATCCTTCCCACCTTCTGGGAAGGTGTCTTGGTGGTGGCTTTTGAAGCGCGTGCATGTAAAGCTGAGTGGGAGGGGTCAACTTCCACAATGAGCAGAGGAGCAGGTTCCTGGTTCTGCATCCTGTTGGTGAGGTAGTTTGAACATACCAGGAATCCTGCCAGGGAAGAACCCCAGAGTGTGTCCCCAAGTGTTCAGCTAATTCACACAGAAACTTAAAAGTTACAAGAGGCCCCTCTGGGGGTGCTGGCCTGCTACTCAGCGATTCAGCAATGGGGAGCTTGGAATAAAGTCTCAGCCAACTGCACGGGCAGCTGGGACCCACTTTAGTCCTGGGGTACAACAATGCCTTCTCAGGAAAGCAAAGCTGATATTGAACTTTCTAGAAAATCAGGAGACTTCTCTTCAGCTCAGAGAATTTGAGCTGTCTGGGTGTTATTAGGCGACCTGCCAGTTGTATTATTTTCTCACACATGGAAAACTTATTTCAGCCAAGTGCCCTGTGGCTGGTATAGGCCTCACCTGGGAGGGAGGGTTTGGTGGTTGCCTTCTAAGGCTTCCCTGGTGCTTTGGCTATGACACTGCCAAAATGATTCCTGCCCTGTGAGTCCTCAGGAGGAGGCATTTGGGGCCCAGAGACTATACTTAGGGGAGTATCCTCGTGACCTCCCCTCCCTCCCCCCTACCTCCCACCCCGTGGCAGGGAGGGAGGATAGAAGAATCTGTTCTGCTAAAGAGCTGTCTTCAAACTTCCTATCTCATCTGCAGTTTTAGATCAGGCCAATGGGGAGCTGGGCAAGTCCCAATTTTCTGAATTTTTGCATTACAGGGTCTTCATGGTAGATGGAACAACTTGGTCAGGGCCACCTTGTTCTACTTCCTTTTTTGCAGCGCCTGGCTTGATCTACTAAGGAACAGATAGTTGTGGACACATGACTGAGCTTGCCTCTGTTGTGGGCTGCAGATGAGGGGATTATTGCTCTGGGTTTGAATCCATCTGATGTTTCGTTACTTCTTTTGAGCCTGCTGACCCTGTCCTCCTCTCTGGATGTCTTAAGAGATGTTTGGCGGCCTTTAGCCTAGTCTACCTCAGGGCCTCAGGCTTCCTGACTCAGGCAGGCTCTCTGAGGAGCTCCATGGTAAGGCCCATTCTCAAGCCAGCATAGATGAGGAGCAGCCAAGAGCTTAGGGGAGAATGAGGCATTGTCATGGCCAGGTTTTGTGTACAGCCTGGTTTAGAATGCTATCTGCATCTGGTGAGAGAGTCAGGAGGCATCTATGTCCCTTGCCATGAATAACATAGGTCATGGCGGTGCTTTCTCTTTGAGAACACCCAGTGTCTCCAGTCAGTACAGCCTGGGGCTCCTTGCCAGAGAAAGGAGAAGGCCTTCTTTGGGCAATGTTGGTTGTAGATAAACTTGGGCTACAATTTTGTTCTAAAATGAAAGGTTGTATGGAGTGGAAGGGAATTTAAAAAAAAAAAAAGGGAAAAGGAAAAGGGGAGTCAAAAGACCCTAGGGAGTGTCTACAAAGTGTCAGGGGAGTGTCTACAAAGTGTCAGGTGCTGTGTGTCCACCAAAAATTGGTTGCCTTTGGAGACATTCTCTAGTTTCCACTAGGAACTATGAAATATAGTGTCAATAATGCACAAAGAAACAACTATAATGATTTTCTCCCCGTAGTGGCTCCCTTGTAAGGGATGAGAGGAGAGGCTGGTGGGCACAGACAGGACTCAGAAATGGGTATTGGAAGATGGGCCATATGAAGCACCCAGGAAGCCAGGTCTGCAAACAAACATTTGAGCCTTTGGTCACCAGCTGGTAAATTTGCCCGCATGGGTAAAGAAACACCATGGATCACTTGTTTCCTTCTCGGTGCTCTTTTATACACTCCCAAGGGAGATTGTTCACCTGTGGCCAAAATAGATCAAAGGAAGATCATCGTAGCAGGTGGGAAAGGGGTATGAGTGTCTGAATTCAACAACAATTCTGTCCTAGGGGCTTCTGGGTATCATAGTAACCATGACAATAATGACAATATCAGCTACCATTTGCTAAGCACCTACTACGTGTCTGGCACCTCACTTGGTGCTTTACATATATGACCTCACAACAAAGTTGGCAAATAGTCATTTTGACACTTGCATATATACACACACACACAGAGGGAACATGAGGGATTTTTTTTGCAAGGTTTGCGTCCTCGTAGATGATAAGCTTTGCTTAATGGGGTGCTTCAGCTGAGTCCTCAGATCAAAACTGAGAATGGAACCTTGTGACCCTGGCATTGGCACATTCTCCCCTCTCCCCCAGCTGCAGGCACAGTGGGGACAGAAAGGGCCTGGCTGTGCCTGGAAGGATGCCAATGTTGGGGAGGGGGGGAAAGGAGGGTACAGCCAGCTCTGCGATCTGTGATCCAGCCACATCCCCCGCAGTGGGGCTGCCGGAGGGGAGAATCCCAATGGCCTTGTGTTCGTGGCCCTGTTTATTTTGAGTAAAACAAGAGGAACAAATCAAAAAATAGAAGAGGAAGAAAGGATAACTTTAGAAAGATGGTCATCAGCTGCTAAAAAGGCATGCTGTCACCTATCCTCATGTATCCTTAAGTGCACATTTGACAGGACCCAAAGGTGGCCAGCAGGTCTGTGGGGACCTCTTCAAAACTTGCTCTCCAAGGGGGTGGAAAGAGCTGGAGATGATGTTTCCTTAGTGCTGAAGATGTGATTTGGACATTTCACACGAAAGCATTGCTGGCACTGGCCGGTTATACCTGCATGGTCATGGGTTGGGGGGAGGGCTGAGGGAGAGGATGGCGGTGGGGACATGGTGGCTCAATTTATGATGTGCACTGCGTGTCCATCAGAGAGAGGGCAGGCAGGTAATGCATAATACTGCATGTGTCAAGGCCCCCATCCTCCCTCTTGAGTTTGCCCAAAGGCATGATTTCCCCCAGATGGCCTGAGGAATGAGGATCATAAGAATGTATTCTCAAGTGACAGTCACATAGGAACCCCAGGAGATGATCTGGCTCCAGATCCAGTCAGAAAGGAGGCCTCTGAGAGAAAGAGCATTGGTGCTCAACTGGACAAAGAAGAGATCCTGGTGATAGGGACCTCTCCAGGCTGCCCAGCGCAGTGGACTCTCTTTCTGGTCTCTCCGTTCACCCACCGTGGCCCCCACCTTTGCCTTCCACGGCCCTCACTCTTTCTCCTTCACAGTGACCAAATCTCCCCGCAAGGAAGCTCTGTCTGCCGATGTAGAACGTCGCCGGCCACCCGGATTCTCTGCAGGCCCAGGCCCCGGCCCTGCAGTGGGGACGGTCAGGAGGACTGCATCAGGCCGGTGAGGCGCTTGCCCGCCAGCGACTTTCCCTGCAGAGAGACAGCCGACAGAAGCACACATGGGCACGCACACCCATACACACACACACACACACACACACACACACACAGAGGGACAGAGACAGAGAGCCAGACAGGTGAATTAATTGTTGCATGGAACATAAAAGGTCAAATGACCAACCAACCCAATGACCAGCTTCACATGGGATCGCTTGGTACAAAGCACTAATGGAGGGCTGTTGGAGAAGCCAGCTCTGCAGGACCTGTGCCCCTTGTGTTGGGGTGGGGTGGGGTGATGGTATGTTTCTGCAATTTGTTTTTGGAGTATAGAAGTTTTACTTACCCAAAGCCGGGCATTTAAACCCTCAGAGCATCTCTTAAAGCTGTAGGCTGTTCCTAAACATGTTTTTCCATGGGTTGGGGAAAAATAGGTGGGTTGTGGAGTATTGAGGTCAGGGATGATAGGTTGATCTAAATAGATGGGTGACTAAGGATCTGGGGGATTAGAAACCAAGGGATTAATTCAGTCTTGGGAATGCTGAAGGACCTGTGAGTCCTGCTTGATAGACACACAGGCTTTGGGTCCTCTAGGTGACAGTTGCAGGGTCTGTGAAAATAACAGGGACAGTTGTTGAAGACCAAGTCACTAGAGGCCCCAGAGACATGCCCTCCTGCTGTTCCTCATGCTTTTTACTCCCTTGGTCTTCAGAGGCCAAGTTTGATGGCTCCATGCTAGGAAGTCTGCAAGCTCTTTACTTACAACCAATGTGGCTATTCTTAGTTTTTAAGATCCTACTATAAGTAGGCCCAGGAGGCCCAGGCATGAGACACAGAGGTTCTAGGCAAGTCCAGTCATCTACATACCCTGGAAAGGTGGTTGAGGGGCCTCTGATCTGGGAGTGGAGTCAAGACTAGACAAGGGGGTAAGGGAGGGGGAAGATGAATGAGGCTCAGTAGTTCCGCTTATTTTCCTGACAAAGGCTGTACCTATTTTTTGCTCACTCTTTTAGAAATCCATATCCTTGGGCAAGGGTCTAGAGAGAGTGTGGCTGGGCCCAGGCGGATTGATCATTGTGTCTGGGAAAACACTCAAACCCATCGTGCTATTGACAGCAGGTCAGTGACACTATTGCCATCTGTAAAGGTAGCAGATGATCTCCCTGCAGCAAAGGACTATGGGGATTGGAGTGAGAATGCAAGGCCCGCAGTTCCTCATGTTCATTTCCAAGTGAGTATGGGCTCCTCTTGTTTACTAGGCTTGGCTGTGTGTAAGTTGGATGTAATTAAAAAAATTGATCTGGTTTGTAAACCTTGCTAGGGTACTCAATAAACCCGCTGATTGATGAATTGATGGATAAAGGGTATCTAATAAATGAGCAACACAGGCTTGGGTTTAGTTAGATGTAGGACAATTGTGTCATTTGGCTTAGATCCCCATGGAGGGATATGGCCAGTCTGACTAAGGTTTCTGATGGCCTGGATGGGGCTTGTCTAGAAAAAGAATTGCTTTAAGGAGCTCTTGGAAAGTCTGTATCTACCTCCCTGCCTTTTCCCCTTTCTTTTCATTTCCTAGTCCACTAGCAAGACAAAACATTTTCATTAAGCCCCTTATGTTTAAAAAAATACATGCATGCACACACACAAATCTCCCCACAACCTTATCTGAATCTTCAAATTTTCTTGGCCTGCAGCTAGGTATGTTACACTAGACTAAGAATTTTTAAATCAGATTTTTTTTAAGTCCTAGAGGGTTCCTGAATCAGTCTTTGAGACTTACTGAACAGGGTGGCCAACTCATTTGTTTAGATCATGGTAGGTGCCTTAGTAGCTCTTAGAAAACAGAGGCTAGCCTTCAAGTCTTCCCTACCAGTTCTAGATTTTGTCTCAAATTCCTAGCTATCATTCTCCCAACCATCTAAAGTTCTTCTTAGGTATAATGTGAAACATCTGTCATTTCATTGAGTCATTTGGGACTGTACCTTCTCAGTAAAGGCCTGAAGGCAGGAAGCATGGGATTGTGTGTGTGTGTGTGTGTGTGTGTGTGTGTGTGTGTGAGAGAGAGAGAGAGAGAGAGAGAGAGAGAGAGAGAGCCTGTGTATGGTGGGGTTTCCAGAGCAATATGAGCCTAGGAGTCTTCTGCTGTGGGAGTTTCCTCTCCTCTCTCACTCATATCTACTCCTGCTTCCATGAAAGGCACAAAAGAATCATGCTTTCACCCTGGGCACTGCCTGTTGCTATAGTCATTATATACCTAATACCAGCTCCTCCTTTTCCTTCCACTCCTCCCCCACCAGGGCCACACATTACACATTGTGCACCAAAATATCTATGTTCTGGGTTGCTATATGAGGCAACTTAGCAGATATGGAAAAATTTATTTAGCAGATATGAAAAAAAAACACAGAACCTGAATAAGAAATTGTTGTCAAGGTATATGTTAAAAACCCAGAGACAAAGAAGGAAAGGTTTACCAATTGACCAAATCCTCATAACAGCTTTCTCCTCATTAGTGAAGTCACTTTGGCTGTAGACAAGTGGTAGGTTGAAGGCGGTTGGAGATATTATTTATGGAGGATTGTTTTAGGTGACTTTGGCCCTAAGGCACCCCCACCTTCAGCCCCTCCCAGCTCTACAGAAAAAAAAACAAAAAACCAAAACAAAAAAACCCAGGCTGGGCCTGGAGTCGCTAATTAATCTCCTCCTGCAGAGCCCCAGCCCTCAGCCTCACAGCTCTGACTTCATAGACCTGTGGCCAGCCTGCAAGTGCCTGCTCCCCATCCTGCTTTCTTCCCGTAGCTTTCATTTTCTGGGACTTTAGGGCAGGAGAAAGCAGCTGACCAGCCTGGGGCTACTCCTGGGATCCTTCCCAACCTCATGACCTTCCAGGTGGTGTTGTTGGCTTTAAAAAAAATCTCTTTCCCCACTGCTGAGCTCATACATTTGCCAAATGCCAGTTCTGCTGCTAAAGATGGAGGTCATAGAGGTTCAGGATGGCTGTGGAAGGAGTTCAGCCCAGCTGCAATCCAACTGCAACACCATGACCTCCTGGGTAAGGGAGGGAGGGCTAGGCTGGGCTGGAAGATGGTTAATCATCCAGGACACAGGCATGGCTTGATGCCTGGCCGAGGGCTTGGGGGAAGAGATCCTGCAAACCCACTGGCTCAGCAGCAGCCTGCCTTCCGAGGAGCTGAGGCTCCTGCGGCGTTCAGGGATCAAAGTGAAATCTCAGAGCAGATACAGCTTGTGCTTAGAGATGAGCTGCACCAAAGGATATGCCCCATGGGCTTGCAGGCAGCTCTCTTGCCTGGAGACAAGAGAGTTCCCACCTGCATCCTCTCTTCCCGTCTCCTGCCATCCCTGGCTCCAGTTGGATGATTTGGACGGAAGCCCTCAGTAAAGGGAGTGGTCACTCCTGTGGTTGGCACTCGCCTTGTCAGAGTTGGTTTTTCTTTTCTTTTCTTTTTTTTCCCCCAGCATGCAAATGTGTGATGTTCCTCAGTGCTGGTCAGCTAGGAACAGACCAAAGTGCCAAGGAATAGAAGCCAGCTCAGCCCAAGGCCTTGGCATAGCTGAGTGAAGCAGCTGAGGTAGTTGAAAATGCTATTAGCAGACAGCCTTTGTCCAAGTGGAAAAATATACTGTGATTAAGAACTGAGCTGTAGAAGGTACATTCCAGACACCAAAGCTTTGCATACAGACAAAGCGCTTTTCACCTTCAAGACATTTGGCCAACTGTAATCCATTAGAAGTTGAGATCCTTCAATTTCACGGGCCAAGGGCTGAGTGCTGGGTTCACAAACACCCACACATTCAATTCCCACCCTCTACTCTGACTGATCACTTCAAACTCTGAGGTCATCTTGATGACTAGAAGCCTGGAAGAAGGTGCTGATGGAATCCTTTGTTTCTAGAAGGAAACACACAAAAGGAATTGCTTCCTTTTGTGCAGTGCTTTAGGAAAAGTCGACATGCCGCTGGTCATGCTGTGGGTCTGTGCATTGCACTTCCAGATATTAATCAACCAAGCATGCACGATCTGGGTTACCAAGAGCTTTTGCCACTTACTTACCTGGGAGACTGATGCTAAACTCATTGGCTGAGAGGAAGGCTGTGGCTCCAAAATAATAAACGAGCCCTGGGGTGGGGGTGGGGGGTTTGATTGCATGCTGGAGACAGCAGAACCAAATGCTAGGGGCTCAGGGAGGACCCTGAGGGACTAAAGATATTTGAGGTGCTAGTGGGATTTTCTTTCTGATTTTCCCAGATAGCATATAGATAAAAGATCATAGCTCTGGAGGGCATTAAGTCCAACTCTAGGCTGCTATGGAGATAGAAATTAACTGTGGTTGCCTCTGGGAATAGTTTGGGAAGGAACATGAGGGAACTTTCTAGAGTGGTGGGGATAGCTTACACAGGTGTATATGTTGGTCAAATTTGTTGAATCATCTATGTCAGATCTGTACATTTCACCCTACATAATTAGGCCTTGAAAGAGACCAAGACTGGGGGTGGGGCATCTCCCACTCCTTAGGGGTTTTCAGACTCTGGGTCCCATCTTTTCCTGTGGATAACTTCAATGCTTCCTCTCCTCCCTGGGAGAAACCCAGAGCCCACTGCTAGGGGAACTGGAACTTTCCACAGGATTTACAGATGAACATGGAACACTATTTTTAGCTTCCATTGACCCAAACCAATCTCTTTGATGAGATACACAGGCATTTTTCACTTTTGCTAATGAAGAAAAAAAAAGTGGTTTCCTGAGCCAGGGGCTAGTCGCTCACATCTGTAATCCTAGCTACTCAGGAGGCTGAGATCTGAGGATCACAGTTCCAAACCATCTTGGGCAGGAAAGTCTGTGATGATATCATCACTAAACTACCAAGAAAACCCAGAAGTATGGAGCTGTGGCTCAAGTGGTAGAGTGCTACCTTTGAGCAAAAAAGGTTAGGGACAGAGCCCAGTCTCTGAGTTCAAGCCCCAGGATTGGCACACACAAAAAAGCAGTTTCCTGAATAGGGTTCACAAAATTT